TCTATCTATCTATCTATCTATCTATCTATCTATCTATCTATCTATCTCTATCTATCTATCTATCTATCTATCTATCTATCTATCTATCTATCCATCCATCCATCCATCCATCCATCCATCCATCCATCCATCCATCCATCCATCCATCTATCTATCTATCTATCTATCTATCTATCTATCTATCTATCTATCTATCTATCTATCTATCTATTTCATGTATGTATGGATGTATGGATGTGTGTATTTGTTTGTTTATTTATTTATTTACTTCTACCCTCCTTCTCCTGTATTTCTCCTGGGCTCCGTCTTCTCTCTCTTTTGCGCTTGCCTTTCCTTCCTCTTCTCCCCACTTCCCTTTCCTTCTCAGTGGTGTGAATGGGCTACTTCAGGCCTCTCCATTCCCCAAACTGCATCCAGCTGCTCATTGCTGAACCTGAAATCTTCTGAATTGCTGGAGCCCAGGCGGATTTGCTTTTCCTCCTCTGTCTTTTGGGGCATTCAGCACACATTCTGGTGAGAGAGAAGTTCCCTGAGGATGAGCTCCAGCCCTAGTCCAAAACCTCAGAAGACTAAACTTCCCACCCAGGTTGGATCCTGAAACATTATCCTGGGACATCTGCATTCACCTTCATTGATGAGTTTTAAGTCTTCACAGAATTCCCCTCCCCCCTTTTTTTAAAGCGTTCACAAGATCAAACACGGCATCTCAGCCTCAACGACTTGGGGCAGATGGAAGAGGCTCCATGTCATTTATCAAAGTCCCTTTTAGACTCACTGCAACGGGTGCAATGAGTTCTGTGCGGAGATCTGTGTCCGTGGAGAGCATTCAGCATTGCCAGCCTGAGTGCTCAGACTACGCCAATTCCCCAAAGTAGAAACCCTAACTTGGCAACGCACATCTGGATCCCATACACACTGCCAAAAATAAAGCTTGGCTTGACATGAATGTATCATGTGAACTTCTGCATGTGCCACAACCGTCACCTTGGTTGAGAAAATCCATCCCCGCTTCTTCTCAAGTCAGCCCAAACAGGTGGGTGGGTGGAGGGGTTTTTTTTTCCCAGGCTTGGAAGGACACAGGTCAACTGCCAGACCAAGGAGAAAGTCCAGCTGGCCCCAAGATGTGTTGGAGAGCCGAAGGGCATGAGAACCAGGAAGCTGCCCCCATTGTCTCCTGCACTTCCCAGCCAGGTCAGCGGTCCATCTTGAAGACATTAAGATGGCGTTTGGGGAAGCAAAACAGGCAAGCAGCATTGGAGACAGGACGCTGAAAGCAATTCGGGATAACATAAAGAAGGTGTTAGCTAAAGCGGCACAAACCTATAAGAAACAGGCAGGCAACGGACACCGAGCTCGGCAGCGGCCATTCCAGTTAGGGGAGAAGGTCTACATCTCGGCAATATTTCTAAGGTTAAAACTCCCTAGTGAGAAACTGGGGCCAAAGTTTTTACATTCTCCCAAGTTGAATGGACATGACCTTGTAGATGACCCCCACTTGGTCAAGGACCTTGGAGTACTCATCTCTAATGATCTAAGTGCTAGAGCCCACTGTAACAACATAGCCAAAAAGGCATTAAGAGTTGTAAACCAGAGGTGGGATTCAGCAGGTTCTGACCAGTTCTGGAGAACCGGTAGCGGAAATTTTGAGTACTTCAGAGAGCCGCCAAATCCCACCTCTGACTGGCCCCGCCAACCCCATCTCTTCTCTGCCTCCCATTGAGTCCCAGGTGATCAGCTGGGTCTTCTTTGATTGCCCTGAAACAGGAGAAAGGAACTGGAAAGCAGGTTAGTGGGGTGGGGAGGGAACGGGGATTTTGCAGTATCCTTCCCCTGCCACGCCCACCAAGCCACGCCCACAGAACCGGTAGTAAAAAATGTTGAATCTCACCCAGTCCCCTAATCCTCTTAGTTGCTCTTCTCTACACTCTTTCCAGAGTCTCAACACCTTTTTTTACATTTTTTACACTTATAAAGTGGTATTAACACTTCACGTGATCTTGATTCTATCCCTCTGTTGATGCAACCTAGAACTGTGTTGGCTGTGTTGGCTTTGATTGGGCGTTATCAAAATGAAATTCAACAGTGAAAAAAAAAGGTAAAGTTCTACATTTAGGCAAGAAAACCCTCAAATGTACAGTTATAGTATAGGTGGTACGTGGCTCAATAGTAGTAACTGTGAGAGGGATCTCGAAGTCCTAGT